GCCAAGTCATCATGTAATTTTGTCTGACCCAGCTGCAACAGAAAAAGTATTGGGAAACTCTAGATTACTCTGCAGATTACTACTCAGTAACCACTCAGCTACTTAAAATTTAATACATTAAAAGTAAATAAAACATTCAGTTTCTCAATCACATTAGCCACATGTGGGTAATGGCTACCTACTAAATAGCACAGCACAGATGGAGAACTTGCCACAGAAAGATCTGTTGGATAGTGCTGCTCTAGGAAAGCAATCAAAGGAGAAATAATGTCGAGTTTGGTTGGCCTCTCCTTTGTGATTTTCTCTTAACCCTAGAATCAGTTTTCCTATTTAAAATGAAATGGATGTGGTGCCTAGAAAATTCGCATGTGGACTGTTCCATATGCAAATGTTGGCATGGAGGACTTTTACTTGTGACAGAAAAGATGCGAGAGACTGGTAAATCACAGCACCCTTAGCCTCGTTATAAATACATTGCAATGTAAAACATGCAAAGGGAAGAAGTCATAAATGTGAAAGTGCCTTTCAGCTTGTTTTAATAAGGGTGTTTTCTGTGTTTGTAACCCAGGGATCTCGCTGCAAGAAACTGCCTTGTAGGTGAAAATAATGTTCTGAAAATCAGTGACTTCGGAATGTCTCGCCAAGAGGATGGGGGAGTGTATTCCTCTTCTGGCTTAAAGCAGATTCCCATTAAATGGACAGCACCAGAAGCTCTTAATTATGGTAAGATTGGACTCCTTCCTTTTGGTGGTAAAAAAATAAAAAAGGTGTGTGTGGGGGGCGGCGGGGGGGCTCCATCAGAAAAAACATTCACAAGCGAAGTTTAGAGGGTACTACAGAGCACAAGTTAGAATGACGTATAAAATGTTCATACTGCCCTAACTGGTTTGGCTCAGTGGATAGAGCGTCGGCCTGCGGACTCAAGGGTCCCGGGCTTGATTCCGGTCAAGGGCATGTACCTTGGTTGTGGGCACATACCCAGTGGGGAGTGCGCAGGAGGCAGCTGATTGAGGTTTCTTTCTCATCGATGTTTCTGACTCTCTATCCCTATCCCTTCCTCTCTGTAAAAAAAACAAAATATATTTTTTAAAAAATAAAATGTTCATACTTTGCACTTAAACATGAGCACCAACTTAATTCATTGACCTTTTAGATCAGATTTTTATATATAAGATTGCTAGATTTAAAAGATGGATACACTTAAAAGCATTATCTGAGAAATGATTTTTAAAAAATTTTAAATTTATTGGGGTAACATTGGTTAACAAGATTATACAAGTTTCAAGTGTACAATTTTATATTACATCATCTATATATTGCATTGTGTGTTCACTAGCCAAAAGACGTCTCCTTCCAATACCACACATTTGACCTCCTTTACCCGCTTCATCCTTTCCCCTCTCGTAACTGCCATACTGTTGTCTGTGTCTATGAATTTGTTTTACTTGTTCCTTTCTCCTTTCTGTCCCACATATGAGTGAAGTCATGTGGTTCTTGTTCCTTTCCATCTGACTTATTTCACTTTAGCATCATACTTTCAAGACCCATTTATATTGTTGCAAAGGCTTTTTACGGTTGAGTAGTCTTCCACTCTATAAATGTACTACATCTTTTTTATCTAATCATCCATCAAAGGACACTTAAGTTGTTTCCATGTCTTGGCTGCTGTGAACATAGAGATACATATATCTTTACAAATAAATGTAGATACACATAAGAGGGACTGTTGGGTCATATGCTAGCTTTATTAATCTTTTAAGGAACCTTTATACTTTTCCATAGAGGCTGTACCGATATACACTCCCACCAGTAGTGAATGAGAGCTCCCTTTTCTCTACAGCCTCTCCAACATTTGTTATTGCTTGTCTTGTTGATAATAACCGTTCTAACAAGTGTGAGGTGGTATCTCATGGTGGCTTTGATTTTCACTTTCCGATAGCTAGTGAATTCAAACATCTGTATATACACTGAGTGGCCAGATTATTATGACCACCTGATGTTTGTAGGCAAATTAGCTATAATTTTGCACTGAAATTGCTAGAGGGCCAGACCATTATAAATAGGGAAGCAGGTTGTTTACCACTACAGTAGAAATGATTTTTTTCTGAAGATATGGGTAAACAATGCGATTTAAGAGCCTTTGAATGGAGGATATCTATCTATATATCTATATATATATAGATATATAGATAGATAGATAAATAGATAGATGTATATACACACACACCCACAATACACACACACATATATACATATACATTTACACATATATGTATATATACATACCCACACACACACACTGAGTGGCCAGATCATTATGACCACCCCATCAGTACTTCGTTGGGCCACCTTTTGCCTTCAGTACTGCGGCGATTCTTCTTGGCATTGACTCCACGCGATGTTGAAAGGTGATGCGAGGAACCTGACACCATGCCTGATGAATAGCACTGTCCAGTTCTGTGAGATTTGATGGTTGTGGAACCAGCTGCCCGATGGCTCTTCTAACTTCGTCCCACAAATGCTCAATTGGATTGAGATCTGGCGATTGTGGGGGCCACCTAAGCAAGGTAAAGTCTCCCTCATGTTCTTGAAACCACTCCTGCACAATACGAGGACGGTGGCATGGCACATTGTCTTGCTGGCAGAAGCCATCTCCATTGGGATACGCCATCAACATGATAGGATGAACCTGATCAGCAACGATACTTAGGTATGTTGTGCGATTCAGACGTTGTTCCACACAAGAAATTACTTCTATTGTCATGGTAAACAACCTGCTTCCCTATTTATAATGGTCTGTCCCTCTAGCAACTTCAGCGTGAAATTATAGCTAATTTGCCTAAAACGTCAGGTGGTCATAATAATCTGGTCACTCAGTGTATCTGTTGGCCATTTGTATGTCTTCTTCAGGTCCTCTGCCCATTTATAAATTGAAGTGTTTTTTTGTTAGTTCTTTATATATTTTGGATATTAGCCTCTTATCAGCAGTAGTGTTTGCAAATATATACTCCTATATAGTTCTTTGCCTTTTTGTTTTGTTGATGGTTTCTTTAGTTGTGCAGAAGAATGTAGTCCCATTCATTCATTTTTACTTTAACTTCCTTTGCCTTTGGGGTCAAGTTCACAAAAACCTCTCTTAGACTAAGATCCATAGTTTAGTTCTTACGTTTTCTTCTATGTATTTTATTGTACATAAGTTTTTAATCTATTTTGAGGGGAGAGACCAAGAGATTTTCTCACTCTGCCATGATGCTGATGTCACTACCAGATTTTAAGAGTCAAATTATACACAGAGTAAAAGTGTTGCTGTGGCTTTGGCCCATTTCTTTTGAATTTCTTATAACTTCATCTGATGTTAGGTTCCTAAAGTATTAAGCCATTCAGTCCTGTAGTTTCTCACTCTGAAAACTGACATGGTTTCTTAGCATCTCAGTCTCTGGAACTTGTATAAATCTTGTGGAAAGAGATGGGAATTGCATTTTAAAGCAGCAGGGATTTTTTTAACTTGAATTTTTTATGTGTCATTGTAATTGGATATGAATACAGCTTGCATTATCTGTGGTGGGGATGAAATGGGCCATAACAAGATGGGTAACAGCTCAAGAATTTTGAAAGAAAAAGATTGTGCTTTGAGTGAAATTAGAAATTGCATTTTCAGTAAGGGAAGCAGCATAAAAGCCATGGGATGGTGAATGGGTGTAGTGTGGTTTGAATTAAGATAGCATAAAATGATTTTTTGTTGATTTAAAATGAGGAATTACTTCATGAAAAATAAGGCATTTATAAATGTCTTTAATTTAGGCATTAAAGTGAATAATTCAGTGGCATTTAGTACAATTCACAATGTTGTGCAATCCCTACCTCCATCTAGTTCCAAAATAAAACTCTACCCAGTACGAAGTTACTCCCCATTATTCTCTCTCCTCAGCCACTGACAACCACATACCTGCTTTTTCATGCTGTGGATTTACTTATTCTGCATATTTCATAGAAATTGAATCGTACAATATGTAGCTTTTTTCACTTAGCATAATGTTTTCAAGGTTCATCCATGTTGCAGACTGTATTCCTTTTCATGGCTGATTAATATTCCACTTTATGTATTTAGCACAGTTTATCTATTCATCCATTGATGTATTTTTCAACAGTTTTGACGTTTGTGAATAGCATCACTATGAACATCTGTGTACATGGATTTGAGTTCCTGTTTTCAATTTTTCTAAGTAAACACTAGGAAGCATATGGTAATTATATGTTTAACTTTCTGAGGAACCAACAGATGTTTTCCTGATAAAGCTGTGGAATGTAATTCGTTTGGGACTTAGTTGGGGCAGAAACCAGAATCTCGTATTTTGTATACCAAGGATACTAAGGGATAGACACATGTAGGTAGTTGCCATTATGAGACGTTGACAAGGCTGTTGTAGTTGGCAACAATGAAGTTTTCAAAGTTAACGTTCTACAGATAGTGAGCCTCACCCTTAGTTTGTCTTCCCAGGTGCTATCAAGAGAAGCTTTTGTGAGCTTCCTAGGGATCCGAAACTAAATCCACTATTCCTCATATCTAGAGAATATCTAGAGAAAGCAGCAGCTCTGTTATTTTCTATCATGATTTTTCTCTGGGGTGGTGGTTGTTATTACTCTAAGGCAGGGGTCCTCAAACTATGACCCGCGGGCTACATGCAAATATTGTATTTGTTCCCGTTTTGTTTTTTTACTTCAAAATAAGATATGTGCAGTGTGCATAGGAATTTGTTCATAGTTTTTTTTTAAACTATAGTCTGGCCCTCCAACGGTCTGAGGGACAGTGAACTGGCCCCTGTTTAAAAAGTCTGAGGACTCCTGCTCTAAGGAGATCAATCACAGGATAAAAGATAGGATTGTAAGCCCTGTATTTACACAGAGGTTTTCTTTGGATAACAAGACATCACTAAGCCCCTTCTTATTCATTCTTATAGTATCCCTATAAGTGAGCTTAGGATATCCTAAAGGCTTACCAGTAAAATCCAGATCTCTAGCATTTGTTCTTACACCTATTTGCTAGATCTTCTACATTATATTGCCTTTACAACTCCTCTTGTAAGCAATTATGCTAAGTAAAATTCTGCCTTTCAATAAAAGTGTATTTTAGTTGAATTTCAAGCTGGTGACAGTATTTACAAATCACAATTCTAATTCCAGATATCTCTTAACAGCCAGGCTTCAAGCATTATATTTTTAAGTATTTAAGAAAATATTAGTTATATTAGTTTCAGGTGTAAAATACAGTGATTGGACATTTTTATACTTTACAGTGTGATCACATTACTGACTCTGTTCCCCTTCACCACTCCCTCCCTTCTGATAGCCATCAGTTTGATCTCTATTTCTACGTCTGTTTTTGTTTGGTGTATTTTTTTAGATTCCACATATAAGTGAAACCATACAGTATTTGTCTTTCTCTTTCTCTGACTTATTTCACAAATCATAATACCCTCTATGTCAGTGATGGCAAACTTATGACACGCGTGTCAGAGGTGAACCGAGAACTCATTTTTTTGGTTGATTTTTCTTTGTTAAATGGCATTTAAATATATAAAATAAATATCAAAAATATAAGTCTTTGTTTTACTATGGTGCAAATATCAAAATATTTCTATATGTGACATGGCACCAGAGTAAAGTTAGGGTTTTTCAAAATGCTGACACGCCAAGCTCAAAAGGTTCGCCATCACTACTCTAGGTCCATCCATGTTTTGAAAATGGCAAGATTTCATTCTTTTTAATGCAGTGTAATACTCCAGTGCATATATTCATGTCTTCTTTACCCATTCATCTGATGGAGATCTTGATTGCTTCTGTATCTTTGATATTATAAGTAATGTTGCAGTGAACATATGGATGCGTGCCTTTTCATCTCCTCTGCCCATTTTTTATCATATTGGTTATATTTTTTGTTATTGAGTTATATGAGGTTTCTTATATAATTTGATTATCAAATCCTTATCTGTCATTTGCAAATATAACCTTCCATTCAGTAGATTGTCTTTGTATTGTTGGTTTCCTTTTGCTGTACAGAAGCTTTTTGTTGAATGAAGTTCTATTTATTTTTGCTTTTGTTTCCTTGCTCAAGGGCTATATCCAAAAAGACGTTATGCAGACTGATGTCAGAACTTTACTATGTTTTCTTCTACAAGTTTTATGGTTTCAGGTCTTACACTTAAATCTTTAATACATTTTGAGTTTATTTTTGTATATGGTATAAAAGAGTGGTCTGGTGTTTGTAATACCACTTGCTGAATAGACTATCATTACTTCATTATCATAGACTAGTTGGTTATATAATATGGTAACCTACTGAATGGGAGAAAATATTTGCAAATTATATATCTGCTAATGAGTTAATATCCAAAATATATAAGGAACTCATACAACCCAACAGCAAAAACAAAAAAAAATGATCAGAAAATGGGCAGGAGGTCTGAATTAACATTTTCGTAAAGAAAATAGAGAGGTAACCAACA